TGGCCTTACCGAATTTTCTGTGCCCTCTTTTAGACTTAGAAAATTTGCCTTTCATTGAATGTAAAAGGAAAGAAATAAAACAAGTACCTTAATTCTTTTGGAAACGATGCAATTTTAATTTGTCTTGCTTCCTATATGCAAATATGATTTTTTTTAGGTGGACTTAGCAAAATTTCACTCGTAACTTAGCGATATGTATTTTCACATACATGTTAATATACTGGCAAATTTCTAATTAAAAGATTATACTTACGAACGAATAAATTACTAGCCATAACTACAATATATAGTTCTATATAAATATTAATATGAAAATAAATAAAACATGGTTTCAGTAAAGCTAAAATATTTCGAAGAAAGTCCTTTCTTTTTTAAGTATTCGCGCTTTACTGCTCCATCTGTTCGAGTTGTTCCTGCGTTTGCGCATGCATCTTACGTTTGTGCCAACGTACACTGGCAAATTGTGCAAACCTTTGACCACAAATATCACATTTATACTTCTTCACTGGCAAATGTAATTCGGTGTGCTTCTTTAGGTTGGCAAACGTTGTAAATGCCTTGCCACAAACATCACAGACATGTTTTCGGATATTTAAATGGCCATTCATGTGATCCGTATAACGGTTGCGCTCATAGAAGGCCTTGTCACAGATGGGACAAAGGAAATTGGATTGTTTTAGGTGGGCACGGCGGTGAGTATCGTAGAATGACCAGGTTTTAAAGGATTTGTCACACAGCTCACAGATATAGGGGCGCTCACCTAAAAAAAGAGATAAGGAGAACATTAACAGCATGAATAATAATATGTATACAAAAAAGGGATGAAAAGTCCAAATAAAGCTGATAATAAATAATAAGCATAAAGACAAGGACCAATTTTAGGATAAAGATAGGGTTAAGGACATACAAAACGACGGAGATATTAATATGGAAGGTTAAAAAAAGGATAAGACAAAGGGTGATGCTACGGATAAGGATACGAATATGGATAGGGGATAAGAAAAGCGAGGATAAGAATAAAGGTAGGGATGCAGATAAGAATTAGCAGGAAAGGATAAGGATGGGGAAATAATAAGGATATGGAAATGGATATTTATATGGATAAGAACATAGGAAAGTATAGGTGTAAGGATAAGGATAAAGAAGTGAACAAAGGGAAAGATGCGGATAAAGACAGGAATAAGTATAAAGATAAGGATAAGCGTAAAGAAGGGGAATAAGGACAACTAAAGGGCTTACGAAAAAGAATATAAAAATACAAATTTAACAAAAGAAAATGCTTATTTTAAGAATTACTTAACAAAGTACAGTGATGAGAGTATTGATAGTATGAGGAGGAACACACAAAAATAATGAAAAGGTTAAGCTCAGAATAGTAAGGAACAAAGATTCTTTTCAGAAGGGACCGTGACGGTTATGATCTTTGTAATAAAAATCATAATTTAATCGTTAAAATTTGATCTATTTTTTTCTGGCTAATTTAACGGTTATTATATGCTTTTTTTATTTTTTCGGACAAGTATTTATCAATTTTTATCTTTCCCAACAATTTTCGTTTGTTTTTATACTCGAGCGCACATGTGCACAAGGGTATTATAATTTTGTTCACATAACGGTGGTTTGTAACAGCCAAAACGAATCGAGATAGATATAGACAAATGTATACGTAAATTATCAGAATGAAAAGAGAAGTCGATTAAGCCATGTCTGTCTGTCCGTCCGACCAAGGTAGGTTGGTATTGAAATCGGATTGTAACCACGCCCACATTCCATATAGCGTTAATTTCGAAAACTGCAAAAACTACGATTTTTCAGTAAATGTTTAATCAAAATTGTTGAAAATTAGTACGTGCAGTGGAATTATGGTAAAAAATAATAATATTATGAAATTTTTGAAAAATGGGCGTGACCCCGCCCACTTATTATGAAATGTATCTCAGTAGCCGCTTCACCAATCCCTACCAAACTCAGCGCGAGCCTTGCTTAATATCCAGCTAAGAAATCTGTTGAAAATCTTTGAAATTGGGCAATAACCACGTCCAGAAACACGAAAACTATGATAAATTAGTAATTATTGAAGATAATTCACTCAAAATCGACGATGCATCACTCTTAAATTTTTGTATAATGAGCGTGGCGCCGCCCACTTATGACCACAAATGTGTATCTCGGTAACCGATTCATCAAATTCAACCAAAAATAGTGCACCTTATAAACTTGGTACGGAAAGGCAATTTGTTGAAAATTATTCAAATCGGGCTAAAATTACACCCCCTTCCCGTATAACGGTAAATTTCAAAAATAAAAAAACTTAGATATTTAAAAAACTGAGGACACTAATTTACTCCAAGTTAATACTTACAAGAGTCTTTTAGCAATAATTAAGACTGTTATAGACTTTTAGGAAGTGGGCGGGGCACCGCCTACTTTATGACTACAAAGGTCTAGGCCGGAATAAATACCCCTGCTTATCGTGCAAAGGTACCCGTAGTTGAGAGAAAGTTTAAACGATGATATTTGATACCTGCGCCGCGTATATAAAATTTGGTTTCGCCCGAACTTATACTTCTTTACTTGTTTTATTTCTATTTTTTCGACTATAACCGTTATTTTCAAATAAATTTTTTCCATCATAAAAAATTTAAACGGTCATAAAAAATCAGTCTCAATTACAACTTTTAAAATTGCTGGAAAGCAATAAAATCCATAAATCGATTAAATTTCAACGAAAAAATAAAAATCCATATTTAACGATTAGTCTTGATCGGAAAAATGAATATAAAAAAATTACGATTGATATGAATTTCCTAAACCGACAACGCTCACCTGTATGACTTCGCATGTGAATCGCAACCTCCGTGGATGTAGCAAATTTCTTATCACACACTTCACACGAATACGGAAAGTCGCCCTTGTGTCGTCGTATATGAATTGTGAGATTGCCTGGTATTTGAAAACCCTTGCCGCAAAGCGTACAAATAAACGGTTGCATGCCATCATGTCCGGACATATGAATCTTATACTGATCAGAGGTTTTTATAAGTTCAGCGCAAACATCACAACGAAATGGACCCAAATTCAAATCGAGAAATTCTATTAACTTCGTTTGTATAATTGACGGTGAAGGTAGTGATGGCAATGATGTCGCTGTATCGCTCGTTTCGATCAGCCGCTTATGCTTTTCTGCTGAAAACTCTTTTCGCAGCTCATATAAAGTTTTTTGCAGTTCTTCCAATGTGCTATTAATGCCCAGCATTAGATTAACTTCCTCTAGCATTTGATTGAGTTCTTCATTGCGATAGGTGGTCGAACGGTAGTCGGGATGATCGACATCCCAGAGTGCGGAATAACTTTTGTAGATTTCGATGAAAGTTAGATGGTCATCGGTGCTCTTGAAGTCTATAGATTTAGCTTTTAAGTACTGCGTTTTGGGTTTGCAAGCGATCACACCTCTGCGCTGTAATTTTGGAGTTTAAAGAAGTAATAAATAGAAAAAGTTTGTATGGTATAGTACATGTAAAAACTGAGAAATAGTGAACTCGATGGCGCGGTGATATATCATATATGTATATGAAAAATACCAAAAAAAATATTAAGCCGATCGCCTAAGCATTCCTTCCCAACATATCGTCTATGGGCTGGTTTCTCCAACGCAACTTAACTTAGTTAAGCCAATTTTCCTGACTTAGTCAAGAATAATCTGTGTAAAACGTAGGCCAACTTTTGACTAAAGTCCAAAAAGTGGCTAAACTAAGTTAAGTTGAGTTGGAGAAACCAGCCCTATGTATTTGAAAGACACCCGTTGACTTAATGAACGTTATTTTATCTATTTGCCATTTAAAAATTTATTGTTCGAATAACGATTTTACTATAGTTACGCATGAAGCACGGTTCCTCGAGTTCAAGGTTACCTAATCTCATATGGCGATTTCGGCGGTTTTTAAAGGCATCAACGATGTGTTTGTATTTACATTAGACCGTACCATAAAAAGGATCGCCGTACACCCCTGACTGTAAATTATTTTGCAAGGCAATTTCGAATTTTTTATTTATTTTATTTTTCGAACGTAGAGATCGCTTTTTTACATTTTTCGTATCTAGAGTAGGATCTTAAAGTATAATATATCGATGTTGTTGCCGCGAGGAGACAATTTTTTGTTCTCAGTTATTATCACCCTAACGTACCACCCTAATGTTAGTGCAAAATTCTTAAACTTTTGCTAAGAGTGTTTTTTGATTGACTAATGTAAAAAAGCAACCCATAGGCAAAAAAATATTTTAAGATTTAGGGATGTACTGTGAAAGTTTTTTGTTTCTTTGTAAGATTGTACGGTCTAATATGTATATATACATAGCTTATCTTACCGTTCTAGTAAAAGGATTCTTTATTTTTTTTTAATAACTCCTTGAAGAAGATTTCTGTACCTTTTTTAGCCGATCAAGCAGCTGATCCTCGAATATTTTCTGCAGAAATTCCATCTGTTCAAAGCACCACAATTTGGGCGCATACAGCCCTTTGTGTTCGTGTACGATTCGCAACTCTCGACGATAGCGCGTGCGCAATTTTTGTATCTCTGTAAAGCAATCGTCCGCCGACATGCTAACGTTCTTCTCCAACAACAATTGTATTGAGATTTCACGCATCAGTTCATTCTTATTACATAGCAAATAATCCGGATGCTGTGGATTCCAGAGCGCTTCCTGCCCTCTAAAGGCATCCAAGAGGTAAGTAAGTACGGCATGGTTATGCGTGGAACGTGTCGTTTCTGTACAGTCTTCATCCAAAGACTTTTCAGATGCTGAGCAGTCAAGGTGTTTCTACAACAAGGGTGAAAAAAATGTATGTTCAGTAGCTACAAGTTGGGAGTAGAATAAGTGATCACTCAATTACCTTAACTTTGCGTGCCGCACGCTTATTCTCAATAACATCTCGCAAGAATTCCATTTTCTCAAAATATTTAAAACGTGTTTTGTACTTGCCCTTACGTTCGCGTGCTTTGGCCAACTCAAGTCGATAGCGTGAACGCAAACTCTTAATGATCGCATAGATCTCCGAGCCGTCCAATGAGTAATTCATGTCACGCAACAGTGGACGCGATAGTTCTTCGAACATCTTGCGATTGGCATTGTATTTATATTGTGGATGATTGGGATTCCAGAGTTTTTCGTGCTTTTTGTAGGCCTCCAACAGATAGAAGATGACTTCAGTACTGTGCTCATTCTCGTTGACCAAAGGCTAAAAGCATTTACGAACGAACAAAGGTCGCTAATAAAAAGTTTATACATATCAATTGCTCTATTTTATACTGTACCTTTTCGCAACCTTGCGCTTTCGACGCGCTCAACGGCAATGCTATTAAGTTTTTGCGTAATCCTGGGTGACTGGGTACATCATTTTCTGCACACTGCAAAGTTAAAAATAAAACTTCATTAAATGCTGTCGTTCATTGATTTAATCATCAATCATAGCAACTATATATTCCAATTACAGTGCTAATATCTATGTATGTACATATGTATTTAATTTAGGGTGCATCACGCTCCATACAAAAAATAAATAAAAAATCAGTACCTACTGTTTTTCCATCGGTATTATACAATTTATTATATTTTAGGCTGCTGCCAAACATTTCGAAAAAATATTAAGAACTACGTGAGCTAATTTAAAAATACTTCCAAAAATCTAGTTTTTAAAAAGAAAATTTGTTAGAAAAGCTAAAGCTTAACTATCCGCATCAAAATTTTTGCAATGCAATCAAAATAATGAGATTTTTAGCGGTGTTGAAATTTTATTTTATTTTATGATTTCGGTGGAAAGCCCGCAAATTTTTTGGTGAGGAACCCTAATGTACATATAAAACAATTTGAAAGAGCTACCCTATCAGAGATCGAGATTTATCAGCGTTATACTATGGATTCATATATACAAAATCCTGGCGATCAAAACTGAGTGCATAGTGATTTTTGTCAAATATTTGGATGTTTTTCAGGTTTTATTAATTATTTTTTATAAAAATTAGGTTCAAGCTTTAACCAAAACCACGTAATTCAACAATTTTTTATTGAGCTTGAGGCCGTTTTTAATGAACAACTTATTGTGGAAAAGCAACAATAATTTGGAAAAAATGGTAGAAGTGATAGCAATTTCGGAAATCACCACATTTCCTCATCAGACTTCTCAGTAGGATTCGAACCGACGATCCCACTGACTCAGCCAGTTGCCTACGCCCTGTGCTAAGTTCGCCTTGTGAATTATTGTTGCTTTTTTCCCACTTTTTCATTTTTTAAGCCAACAAATCAAGCGTAAGTCAAACTTTATAAGGAATTTAGAAAAACTCAACAAATGTTCATCAAAATTTTGAACTTTTAAATCTGAGTTTTTGGTTATGCTGTTATGTATATGGCTTCCGAAATCTCTCACAACATAAAAATAATTAAAAATCAACGCGATTTTTTAGCCGCTTGAAGGTTACACTTGTTAGACTTATATTGTAAGGGCTATAAAACTGCGTACCCAAAAATATGCTACAGATTTTCAGCCGTATTCTAACAAAGTCACAAACTTTAGCTCATCACTGCTGTGATTTCTACCGCGCCTCAAAGCTTGCCGTTAAAAAAATATGCCGCTTCAATTCAATTTTTTTTTAATTTTTGTGTATTTTTCTAGCACTCAAAATCGAATTTTTCGTGACACATTTCTCGGCGCACTTGAAATCACAAGAGTGCTGAGCTAAGTTTTGTGACTCTGTTAGAATAGAGGGGTTAGAGTAAAAAGTTCGAGATTTTGATAAACAATTTCTGGAATTCTCCTAAATTTTGTATAAAGTTTATTTTTAGTTAAATTTACGTGGTTTTGGTTATAGCATGGACATTATTTTTATAGAAATTTACTTAAAAAACATTGTAAATATTAAAAAATAATCAACACGTGATCATTTGTTTGAGTTACTTAATATTCTAAAATAAGCTCAAAAATAATAATAAAAAAATTTAAACAAATGACGACTCCAAAAAAGCAAAACGGCGATTCGATTCAGGAAGCTCTTATTAATAGGAGAAAACGCGATTATGGATTCACTGAAATCTGTATATATTTATTATGAGTTGCATTCGATTTTCGACCTTCCCTGGCTATCGACGATGTAATGTAAAATTCGTATCAGGAGCTATGCAACCCTGTCGAAATTTTCTTAAAGTATCGAATTTTCGGTCGAACACAATTTTGCTTTCGATGCTGTAGCGTAGTGTAAGAAAATGTAAGTATTTGCGTTTGTTTTTTACTTTTAGGCGGCTAAACACTAATTAAAAAAAAAATAATTTCATGCAGATCTAAGGTCGTGAGTACTAAACAGCTGGTTTTACTTATAGTTCCAAGGTCGGTTTATCAACATGCTTTCTTTTATTTAAATATAAGCACACTATTTAGTTTAGTTACGCTGTAATAAACCCGCTTTCTTTTATTTTAATTTGCTCAATTTTTTAACAAAGCAAAACTTAAACGAGCGAAACCCACAACAGCGCTATTCTTCATCGAATGGGCGTCCTAATACCAAATGAAAATCCATACTATCAGCCCTTTTGACCACAGTCGAAGATCGAATGCAACTCATAATAGGGGCCCATATTTCATATATGTATGTGTTCGGCGCAAAACTTCCAAGCTGTAGTATGCCGAAGCAAGCACACTATTATGATTAGGCGCTTAATGCGCGGAGAGCCTTACCCTGCGGTGAAACCGCGGACTAGTGAATAAAGTTTCCAGTTCCGTACAAGATCTTTATCGCCAAAAACGAACCAGTCCTCTACTAACTAGATCCCCACCAGTTCAAAATCAGCGAAATGTGGTACTCTTAAAAAAGCTATTTTATTTCACGTTTTTCATTAGAAATTTCTATCTAAGGTGACGAATTTAGAATTGGATCGGAATTATAGAAAGAGGGATGCAGAACGAACTAGATCTTATCTATCGAATTTAGAACTAGTTCAGAACTATCGAAATATCGATGCAGCGGGGGCTTGTTTACTTTAAATAGATATGTGTTTGGCGACTTTTTCGTTCAAATGAACTTTCATTCTGCAATTCGCAGATGCTTTTTCATAGTTTGGAAAAAAAGAACAAAAGTTTGTGTTAACATGTTAACATCTTGGGACCGTCTGGAATCCAACCAATAACAACAAGCACCTCTGCAAAGTCAGCTACAGCCAAAGGTATGTAAACATACATTTCTTACAATCATTCAAACAAATTTAATTTCAAATTGATAAAAACATTATCATGATACTTTTTTCTTTCGTCTATCGTTTTTAGAACTGCTTCGTAACTATAGAATTTAGAACTAGTTCGGAACTATCGAAAAAGATATGCACCGGGGGGGCAATGGACACTTCCTAGACCATCGTCATGTTAAATTCGCCAGTTGTTTGCATGCAAAAGAGATTTATCGCGAACCAATACTGGGTCTAAATGTACTAGAAGCGCACCAGTTCAGAACTAGAGATTTTCGCCACAGGGTTAGCTTCATGAAGAAAAAAAAGCGTGAATTTTTACATATATATGTAAATATGTATGTATTTCTCAATGTGTACAAAACAGTATTTCTTTACAAAAGGGTCTCTCATTGAAATTATTACAAAAAACAAATAAAAAAAGTAGTAAAAATGGAAAAATTTAAATTTCTTGAGAGCTGCAAACTGTTTTTAGAAATTTGTATATGAGAAAATTTCTTTCTCATTCTTGAACGTGTTTCTTTTTGGGTTTTTTATTTTTCTTGAGCGCTAATAGAGCATAGATACTGGTGCCAAGACTTAATGTTTAAACTTCTGTACACTTGTCGTGTAAAACCTATATCTATTTGTACTTACATACGTACTGTTTACATTAGTGCTGGGCAGTATCGATACCAAAAGTACTCAGAACTCGATTCTCAAAAGAATCGAGAGCACCCGATTTTTAAAAGTATCGATACTGAGTACCCCAAAGAACTCAGTACCCACAAAAGAGCTCAGTACTCACAAAAGAACTCGAAAGTACTCAGTACTCATAAAAAGAAATCCTAAGTACTCAGAACTTAAAAGAACTCGAAAGTACTCAGTACTCAAAAATACTCTGTTCCAATAATCGCTTTGATACATGTACTCAGGATTCGATTTAAGTCGAATAGACTTAAAAAGTACTGAGTTTTATTTACATTTAACGGTATTCAGAAATGATTTGACTCAATTTGCAGTTTCAATAATTTTCAAGTACAATACTTATACCCAGTACAGTTAGCCAATTATTTGACGTAATTTGTGATTCATATATTAATTTGAATAAAATACTGCCAGCTTGTGAGATTTCTACACTAAGTATTGAAATATTACCAACATGTCTATATTTAAAGAAAGTACTCAGTACCCTGAAAAATACCCGATCTTTAAAAGTATCGATACCAAAGAACTCGATCCTCAAAAGTACTCGATACTGCCCATCACTAGTTTACATACATACAATGTTTATGAATTACTCGAATGCTAAAGAAATATGCCTGGCATTTTCCGACACGCAAAATTAATTGATTGTGAAACAGATTACCCTCAACATTTGCGCCTATTTATACCTACAAATACCACCAAAAAACATATATTTTCCATTGCGGCATTAATAGAATAAAAGAGCATAATAATGGCAAATTGTAGTGTTTGCATTTGTGTACATATGTAAATGCATACTTATTGTGTTCGGATTGTTCATAAAATTCTGAACCTAAAAGCCTAATAAACCAAAACAGAAGTCATTAAGCTAATTATGTAGATTTGGCTTAATGATTACCATCTACTTAGTGCTTACTGGCACTAACTTACAAGCATACAAATGTATGTACATACTTTACAATTTCTACTACAGTGATTTTGCTTAGTTTGAGGAGGAGGAGTCTGTTTTTGTATGTTTAATTTTTTTTACATTTATCAAATGCCCGATTATAAAAATTTCAGTGGTGAAGACTACTTCAGAAGCAAATAATATGCGTCTGTCATCATGTCCTACGTTCTTAAATTAGGGCTAGGCTCTTATTTTTATTATTTCAGAGTTTCAATCAAAGGGCATGATGTCTCTTTTTTGGATTTCACCGAGCGATGGCGCTCCCTGATAATGGTAGATAATGAAAACTTTTTATCAATTCCTCAAAAAAATTCAGCCAGCGCAGTGAATAGACAGCCGCTGCACAGTGGTTCAAAACTGGCATTTAGTGTTCATAATTCACTTGAGTCTTCATTACCACGTTTTTTTCACTCAATTTGATAATTTTTTTTAATGGAAGCTTGTAAAATTTGCAAAGTGCAGAAAAAGTATCAATTTTGAAAAAAATCGATTTTCCTGTTCCAACTAATAGGTGTTACATAAGAAAACTAGGAGAAAACAATT